CACTTTAGTGACAAGGTGGCGGATCGGCTGACTCGGAAGAATGGTGGTATTCGAGAGCCAGAGATGCGATTACCTGCTATTCTCATCTCGCTTGTGGTCGCGCCGCTGTCCTTGGTTCTATACGGTGTAGGCATCGATCGCAACTGGCACTGGATTGTCCCTACCCTTGGTCTGGGTCTTTGTAAGTCTGCGCAGAACTGTCTCCCGCAATTGTAAATGCTTACTCGAGTCGATAGTGAACATGGCAATCGTTCAAGCTACCAACGTAAGCTTGGTCTACACAATTGACAGCTACCGTCCCGTTGCAGGAGAGTTAGCAGTCACGCAGCTGGCGTTCAAGTGTAAGTCTACTGTCTCCAGAGGCTGGCGTGATCAACGAAGCTGACGAAATGTAGCTGCTTTCGGTTTTCTCCTCTCTTTCTACACTAATCCATGGATTGATAAGAGTGGATATGCAAATGCATTTGGTGCCATGGCTGGAATCTCAGGGGCTGTTATTCTGTGCTGGGTGCCTATCTATATTTGGGGTCGAAGGATTCGCCATGCTACGTGGAGCTGGGGCTACATTGAGAAATTTGTTCACTGGAATGTGGATCGCGAGGTGGGCGAGTAGATATTTTCAGGAATTCAGACACGATATGTAAGCCTGGTATGATGAAGCACGATGTTTGATAGTGGTAGCCAGTCAGTATTTTTTGAGAAATTGCATGTTGCTACCAACAATTAATTACCTTTCGATGAGATCGCCACTCAGAGACTTGTTATTTCAATGTCGATCCTATCCTCGCTATGCAAGGATCAAGTGCAGTCACGACAACAGATAAGAAACCCCCATTTAACAACAGTTGCTCATTGCCTGCTCGACACCGCTCCCTTTAAGCATGCCCCCCTTCCAATGTCATGCCTACCCTAGGGTCATTGACACGAAGATCCCTGTACTAGTGTCCTTTTCCCCGCATCGCCCACATCCCGAAAACCCCAGAATTTACCATACTAAGTTAGTCGTAACTCACCCTAGTTAGGATCATGGCGCAACGCAGACCGGTCCAGCCCAGCAACATCACAACCATCCTTCCACCGTGACAATGATCATTTTTTCATCTCTGGTCTGGCAGTCACAAACGATATGAGCGCTCCAGCCACGACAAAGAGACGCCTGTCGTCTCCTCAACAGAACCCTTTCCAATGCTCCTACTGCCAACGCTCCTTCGGGCGCGTGGACCACTTGACCCGTCATATCCGATCTCGTCAGTGGCAGCAGTGCAATGCCCCCGTCTTCCAATTTACTAACATTCACTACAGATGCGCAAGATAAGCCGTTCCGCTGTCATGTTTGCGATAAGGCCTTTGGGCGCCAGTATGTGATCACACTACCAAGTTGGCAATCACTAACCTTATTGCGTCGACAAGAGATATCCTCAAACGTCATGTGCTTGGACATAATGGCTCAGACTCTGGTGCGAAGCGATACAAGCGCATGTCCAATGCTGCGCCTCGTGTTGCTCAAGCTTGTAAAGCTTGTGCGGGATCCAAGCTTAAGTGCGATGAGGATCCGTCCTGCAGACGCTGCGTGGCCAAGGGAATCACCTGTGAGAGAGATACGCGCTTTACAGAGATAGGAGAAAAGACATCACCAGACACTAGCATTCAGTCCACCATAGGTGAGAATAGCGTCTGTCGCTCCTTTTTGGGGGCCGATTGCTAAACAAAGCAGACCAAGAACTATTCATACCCGTGCTAGAACCGAGTCAGCTAAGCTTATCAGAAGACGACTTCTCCAAGTTCCTGAAAGGGGTCATGACTCCCGTAGAGGGACAGGAGAGCCGTCCGATAGAACAGGCCGACCTGGCTAGCATTCACCACCACATGTACGATCCGCTTCTGTCCCACGGTCCCTTGGACTTCCGCGTCGACGGGGATACGCGGTTCGACGATGTTGCCATGGATCTCTGGGACCTGCCCTGCAGTCCATCATTTTATTACAATGGAATCCTACTGGAGCCAAAGGCATCCGCAGCATTCAACCTTCAGGTTCAAACACCGAATCCGGCCAATAGTGCTCGCCCAGCTGTGTTGGGACATGTCGCGTATAAGGAATCAGCACTAGGAATGTGGGAGCCTTCGCAAAATGACCACCTCAACTCCAACATCAAAGCCCTGTCTGTTCTCGGTGACAGCCCTCAGGACGCCATCCAGCTTAACAGCTTGGAAATAAGCAGTCAGCGGTTCAAACCACTCTCTGTTGGACTCAGAGACCAGCTGCTGCTGTTGACACTGAACGCTTGTAAGCCAGAAAGTAAACTCGCCATCATCAGAGCATTCCCCCACCCCGAGATTCTTTCCAAGCTCATCGAGAGCTTCTTTTCTCACCATAGTGTGCAGACCGACTCGTGGATACATGGCCCTTCGTTCGAACCAAACCAACAAGGTGCAGAGCTTATTCTCACCATCGTCAACATGGGCACTATGTTTGCCGACTCCAAGATCCTGCATTCTCTTGGTTTTGCTCTCCATGAGGTGGCTCGTTTGTCGTTGCCTGTGATGTTTGAAAGAGCGAATTCTATGACGAGAGCTCTCTGGGCTCTCCAAGCCTTTGTGCTGGATATTGAGATGGGGCTGTGGAGTGGTATTAAGAGGAAGATGGAGATTGCAGAGAGCCAGCGCCAGATGCCCTTCACAGTATGTCATCTCTTTCCTGCTAACTTGTCTCAAGTTTCATTTTAGCGTCGAGTGGCTGCTAATTCGGCACAGATGCTACGGCGCGGTAGAAGATTTAGTAATGCCTATACCGCGGCTGACCCTCCTTTGCCAGAAGACACAGGCGAAACCTTACAGAACAAGTGGCTTGCTTGGATTGAGCAAGAGAATTACAACAGACTCATATATCACTGCTTTATTCAAGATACTCAAGTCAGCATTGCTATGTCGACATGTCCCTTGATATCTTTCTCGGAGCTCAAGACTCCTCTGCCAGAGTCTAGTGATCTCTGGCTTGCCAAAGATGCAGAGGGATGGAAAGCCATATACTTGAGGGAGAAGCGCCTACACGCAAGGGTTTCGTTGCACGACTACTTCCGCAACGCTGCAGAAATCGACAGCGGCTATGACGTTTCGTTTTGTCAGCTTGTCATCCTTTCCGGTATCTGGGGAATGGTCTGGCAATGTCTACAAACCATTGCCGTGCTAAACAAACCGACACACTCGGACCCAGCATTGACTCTTCGGCAGCAAGAGATAATCCAGATATTGCATCGATTCCGCGTCAATATGATGGGCGATGAGGCAGGCTGGCAGGATGGTCCGGTGACCATGATGTATCATCTCGTCTATATGCACTTGCACATTCCTTTTGAGGAGGTTGAGCTGTTTGCGGGCAAGGGACACCAGAGTGATGCCCGGCACGCTCTGTCTGTACTTCTAGACTGGACCAACAGCCCAGAGTCACGGAAAGCAATATGGTACGCCGGCCAGATCATAAGAGCAGCAGAGATGTTCGAGCCTGGTCGGCTCCGGGGCTTTTACACTATTGCTTTATATCAAGCGAACCTTGCCCTCTGGGCCTATGCGGTGGTGTCACAAGTCAAGGGAGCAAATAAGAATGATCCAATTCTTAACCCTGAGGAGATGGTCTGTTTGAACGGGCCGGAATCTCCACTCGTTCAGAGGTTCATCAGCCGAGGGGTGCCTTCGGTTGCAATCATTCAACCATGTGCACCTCAGCACGGTAGTTCCCCCATCCGATTGATGGACCGGGAGGCGGTCGTGAACTATGTTGTTGGTATTTTGAGTGCCAATTTCTCGCACGTCGACGCTATCCCGCCTCTGGTCGAGAACCTTGAACAGCTTCTGGACAAGCTGGGCCGAGCCGAAATCGACGTATAGGCAGAGCGAAGCCGATGTGGGGGATGGGATGTTGAGTGCGGAATGCCACCCCTCCTCCGCATCGGTGCTGCTTAGTTCACTAGTCTCACCCTAGCAAGGAGTAGGCTGTGACAGACCTGCACGTTGACAGGTGGTCCCTGAACATCCATTGACATAAATCTCTTGAGGCTGTGATTACGCTAGCTTGTCTGACAAAATTTAAGATGATAGCACGTCATTACATGACTCGAGATCTTTTGAGGCAATAATAGTTCAATTTGCTATCGAAGCTCACATGCTTGACTTGTATGTAGACCCGATAGTCTGTGTTTACTCCTTCTCCTCATACCCAGGAATGGTATGCGTTGAGTTATCGCGGAGTTCTTGACCGGCAACTCTCAGACTTGTAGCCGGCTGCAAAACATAGAGCATTCTCGCCCATGACTTTTCGCTCCTGTTCTTCCACGCATGATTGGTCCCCCGCTGAACCGAGATATCACCCCTCTTCATGACTCGCTTCTCTCCAGAGTCGAGGATCAAGTCAATCTCCCCTTCCAAGACGACTCCATAGTCCAAACTGATTGTGCGATGCATTGGCGATATAGCGCCAGGAGGTATATCGACGACGCGAAGGACTGTGCCAGTCGGCAGAGTAATGCCTGGAAGGTTTTCGGTATAGTGTCGATATGTTTCAATATCTGCTTCGTCGTTCAGGTTGACGGGGAATTTGTCGGTCGCGTAACAGAGCGCAAAGTCGACATTGTCTGGTAGGGTTTGGAAGGGAGCGTCCTCGGGTAAGGCGTCTGAAAAGGTCGTGGTGCCTTCAGAAGTGTGCGTTGTGACGAACCGCTTGATCGTTCTCAGATCCTTTCGTGCGTTGTCGGCAGGTGTTTTGTTGTCCATCCTGGTTGTGTATGTATGTGAATGCAGCTTGGTGAGCACAAATGCATGGAGGGGGAGAACTATTAGTATTAAAGAAGACTCAGCAGTTTCCTTTCAAGCCTGGCCGTGAATAGCTCAAAGTTTACTTCGGATGTGGAGGGCAAGGAGTGGTCCCGAGAAACTAAAACGTTCATCGGCTACAAAACGAGGGTAGCTATAGAGTAAGGACAGTGTATCATTCTTTTCTAAATCTCCAACTACGGCTTGATCCACTCAAATTTGTCCCCGATGTATCGATGCGCACGAATGTCTCCAGACCTCGCGTGACCCTCAAAGAGCTCTACCCGCGCAGCTCTCCCACAGAGCTGACCAAGTTCACCGCTTGCCTGAGCAGACTTGACTTCCTGATAGGTCACAGTGCGGAGGAACTTTCCTACCCACAAACCGCCAGTATATCTTGCCGCGTGCTTCGTGGGTAGAACGTGGTTTGTGCCAATACACTGATCGCAACAATGTTAGTCTTGGTGGCTTGCAAGAGGGATTCGGCACTTCTTACCTTATCACCGAAAGAGACGCAGGTCATGGGGCCCAGAAATAATGCTCCGTAGTGTTGCATCTTGGTAAGCGCCTCTCTGGGGTTCGCAGTGAGAATTTGTACATGTTCGGAAGCAAATTCGTCGGCAATCTGATAGGCCTCGTCAACCGTATCGGCGAGAATAACCTCCCCGTAGTCACGCCATGAGACACTAGCCACAGCTGCTGTCTTGAGAGAAGCCAGCTGATCATCGCAGTACTTTATGGCACTCTCTGCAACTTCAGCCGAGGTACAGATCAAGACAGCAGGTGTGTCTGGTCCATGCTCAGCCTGAGAAAGCAAATCGGTGGCGATCATGTACGGATCTGCTGTTTCATCCGCCACGATCAAAACTTCAGTTGGCCCGGCAAAAAGGTCGATTCCAATCTGGCCAAACAACTGCCTCTTTGCCTCGGCAACGAAAGCGTTGCCTGGTCCGGCGATGAAGTCGACCTTGGGGACAGTTTCCGTGCCGATCGCCATTGCTGCGACAGCTTGAATGCCACCAAGGATGAAGATCTCATCTGCCCCTGCGAGATGCATGGCGGCAACTGTGGCCAGGGGAATCTCACCCGCTGCGGGGGGCGTACAGGCTACTACATTTCTGACACCAGCAACCTTGGCCGTCAAAATGGTCATGTGCGCAGAGGCCAACAAGGGATACCGCCCTCCAGGGATATATCTAGACAGTCATTAGCACATAGAGAACTGTCAGTCTGAGATATAAAGTACTCACGCTCCAACTGAGTCAATAGGATTGTTCTTCTGACCCAGAAATACACCAGGAGCCATCTCGATCTCAAACTCTTTGATTGAGTTCAACTGAGCCTCTGCAAACTTTCGAACGTTGGATTGCACTGCTTTGATATCTTTGATGACTTGCTCTGGGACTCGAGCAATGACTTGATCGATGTCCTCTTTAGACAGCTTGAAGCTGGAAGGAGACCATTTGTCGAATTGCTCGCTGTAACGCTGCACAGCAGCATCACCTTCTCGCCGGACGCTATCAATTACATCCTTGACTATCCTGGGGACATCAGGCAGTGAACCATTGGTGGCTTTACTCGTCGAGTTGGCCGAGGCGGGACGCTTGAGATGTGTTCGAGCCATGATGGAATAAGTTTAGCTTGGTGTTGCTGATTACGTGAATACAAAGAGATGATCTTGAGAGTATTTCTTCTGTCTTCTCATTAAGCCAAGTCAGCCCTTATAGCACATGATATTGAGCCTCACTGGAATTCCATTCTGCCCCTTGATGTTCCCCGGTCTACTCCGTGCAGAGCAGCGCGTTCACGGATCGGCTTTGCGGGGGTGGGACTCGGAAATGTGGGCGACGAACCCTGGCTAGGCCAAACCCTGGCGAGAAAGAAAACCTCCCAACATTGAGCCAAGACTAACCGTAACAAAAGCTCTGTCAAGACATGGTGAGCTTATCTAAGCATCTCCTCGCTGATGATACAGGTTCTTAGTTGGTCTATTAAATTCAGCCAAAATGGGGCTTAAGATATGTAATTTGTAATCTATTCAGCTACACAATTGTGGGACCTACCTACCCTACACTATCTTGATTGTGTAAGGAGACAGGGAGTCAGTAAAGTGTATGGCAGAAAAAGAAAATAAGCAAGATATAAAACCAAGATGTTAACATAAAGGAAAATCATTATATATGCAGTATATATTTAGATAAAGCGTTGACAAGCTTGGTCAGAATTGCATATAGCGTATTCATTCCAGGGTTAATTCCGTGAGGGAAATATCAACTGCAATTTCATGTATCTATTGTATAGCGCCGTGGTTGCGTATGCCAGGTTTCCGAAGCTACACCGTTTCCTGAAGCATTTAGATGCTTTATCATAAACCGAAACCGGCATCGATGACCCCATTCTGTCCAGTTACTGATTTAGACACGACAAAAGCTTTAACTTGCTCCGCAACGTCTTCAACTGTGGCAAAACGCCCCAACTTATTTGTGTTGCGAGCAATTTCAAGTCGATCTGCGGGGAACGAAAGACCCCATTCCTGTACAAAGATGAGATTAAATCCCCGAACAACTGGAAGAGAATCACATACAGTAAGTAATATGCCTGGTGAGATGGTGTTCACTCTGATTGACGGCGCAGCGATCTTGGCGAGACATTTGCCGAGATGGATCTGTGCAGCTTTTGTGACTGCATACGGCTACACGGCGACAATCAGTGAATGAGAAGACTTCCTGGTGTCAGATTAACATACCACGCTGCTTCCGCTGGGGATGACTCCGGCTAAGCTGGCTGTAGACACAAAAACAGGCACTCCAGCTTCTCGCTTGTTGCTCTCTTCAAGATAGCGCTTCGCCGCATGGAAAAGCCACAGATGGCTCTTAACATTGGCAACATAACATCGATCCCAGTCGTCTTCGTCAACATTATCATCGATGTCTGAGAACTGGCGCATCTTTGTCCATCCAACATTCGATATGACAACATCTAGACGACCGCCAAACCTCGATGCTGCATCGTCGACGAGTGATTTGATCTGCAGCTCGTCGCATGTATCCGCTTGAATGGCCTGTATCGAGATGTTTGAGCCTGCGTGCTTTTTCTGGCACTCGGCTTGTAGCTTTGATACTAGCTCTTTGGCACGGGATTCGTTGCTGTTGAAGTTGATGACGACGTTCATTCCTAGGTCGACAGCTAGCATACGAGCAATGGCTGCGCCGAGACCACTGCTTGCAGCAGTGACCAGGGCTACTTTGGACATGGACATTGTAGTTGCACGTGAGACTGTATCTGTTGATGAGAAAGGCTTTGTTGTTGACTGCATCAAGGACATGATGCTCGGCAACTGCGGGTTGCGGCCTCGAATACCTACTTCTAGACCAGACCAATCGAACTGCGGCCCGACGTACCCCTCATTCCGAGACCGGCATCCTCTCGCCTCCCCACAATTGTCCACAAGCCGAAGCATGGTTCGGGGCACCGTATTATCTATCTATTTAATTTATGAGAGCTAGAAAGTCAACTAAACAAAATAGAAAGAAGGAAAAAGGGTAAATTAAAATACGGCTAAGCTATAAAATCGGGTTAAAAGTATTATAGTTAAGGGTTAATAAGTATAGAAAACTGTATATATTAGGCCCAAGTAAAAGAGATTAGAGTTAAACAGATTATGTAATAAATAAACCCTCTTGCATTGCCAAGCAGCGCTCATCGCACCAACATATCACCGTGTTTGAACTTTCCCCGGTTAACGAACGATTTAAAGGTAATAGAAATGTTTGATTGCGCAGACATGCCGAAGGAAAATCGACATTACGGACCCGGTATGCACAATGAGTTTATCGAATTCCAAAACCAATAAAATACAAAACCAACTTTCAAACAAATGTCAGAGACCATTGCCAAGTAGCCCGCTCGGTAAAGATAGTCAGCCTCGTCCTCCATATGAGTAAAAGTCTCCAAGCGCATTGATTTGCCACCAGGGCAAACCCCTAAAATATCAACAGCAACTTTCAAAGCAAATGTCGGAGAGACCACGGTCAAGACGCCAGCTCGATAAAGATAGTCAGCCCCGCCCTCCAATTGAGTAAAAGTCTGCAAGCCTGTTATCTACCATCAGGGGCTTAAACAAGCCCAGGGATAGCAGGAAGCGAAGGGATGGCGGGAGTAGCAGGAGTCCCAGCAGGCTGACTAGCATTGTCGGCGCCAGGAGGCAGACTGGGAAAACCAGGAATATCGGAAAGGCTGGAAAGACCAGGAACGCACCCGATGATACCAGTTACAAACTTGGTAATACTATATCCAGTTAGTAAATGCTGCTTCTCATAGCATACTAATAGAGCAGCAGGCTTACCAGTCGGTCGCTCCGAGGGGATCAACCTGAGTGATCTTGCCAACGCAGTCAAGGATGTTAGGGGCAGCCCCAAGACAGCCAAGGTCGAGGCTGTGAACCTGAGTCTCGTCCGTAGCCTTGGGCGTAGCAGCGCCAAGGGCAAGGGCGGGAAGAACGAGCATGCTAAAGACCTTCATGATGGATGGTATGGTCGGAAATACAAGAGTGTAAGTGATTGTGTAAGTGATTGTGTTAACTTTAAGTGTTGGAAAAGAATGCTGATTGTAAGTGTTGAGGATTGAGTGATGAGAAGTGAAGATGCATCTCCTTTATAGTTTTCACAGGTCATATTAGACTTATCCTGAAGGGGATCTCTGCAACCATTCCCAATTCTAGACAATGCTAATAGACCTCACTCTCCGAAGAAGATGATACCATTGTTTCGGAGAATAGAGAACCGCATTGAATGATCTGTTGAAGTCCAATGTTAGGTATGATACGGGCTATAGTTTCAGCAGTTTGATATAATGTCCAAGTGTGTTTTAAGAAGTGTTGTTCAGAGCTGAGCTTTTCCCGGAGCCACCGCATTCCGTGCCCACTACCTCATCTTGTAGGTGTGTTACATATTGCGACATTCTATTACAAGGCTATACGAGCTAGGGGAGGTGTGTGATTGAGAAGTCCCGATAATTGAATATGATTAACGCCTTGCTTCGATTCGATTCTCTAACATAAAATCGTCCAGAAACCTGAATCCCTGCAGCAAGAGGGGCTACTAAGGTTAGTACCTGTCACTTTTAAAAGCCCGTAACTAGCTCAGAAGAGGGATTTTCGACCCAGTGTCCCATATCAGGGGCCAAGATAATGCACACGTATTCCGCCACACTGACATAAACCCACTCTTACCTATATAGGTAATTTAAGCACTTGTCAAACACGAATGATTCTAAACTTTAATATCTATCAGATCGTCGCCGAGGATCTGTGATGTGGCATATTGGCAGTCCTCGGTTACACATCATACGCTGTAACGCTGCTTAGTGTTAAGACTAGTATGTTTCAAGAAGACATAAGAGAGGAGCTGAATGTTGATAGGGATCATCAAGATCGACATTTAGCATGGTAACCTTTACATAACTTATGGGTACACGACCAGTCTGTGATTTATAAAGAGAAGATGTTGGAGCCAGGTGAATGTGAAGCTCCCTTCCCAATGTGGAAGCTGGGAAGAGTCAAGATGAAGATCCCAATGCTGGACTGTTAGATCCGCTAGGCTTTCTGATAGTAACTCTATTTCTTACCCAAAAGTTCCTAGATGAAGGTATGTTTGACCAAATTAGGCATAATTCGAAACTTAATAGAAACCCAAGTGTCAAAATGTGGCTAGGCGATCCCTAGAAGGCCCGCTTGTCTTACAGTCATTCGAGAGACGCCGGAGATACCAACAGCCGGGGATCCCGAGACTAGCAGACGAAATCACTCATGTATCGTGGTGTTGCTGTGGTCTTTAAGTCTTCTATGCCTCACTCAACTTTTAATTCTCAATGTTCAACTTATGTTATTTCAGAATGGAGATTGATCCTATGGTGATTGCTATCTTTGGCCATCCCCCTGAGGGCATTGATCTCTCGGCAAACCAAGAGATAAAGAATACTACCATTGTTCTCTCCATGCTAGGCATCTCTGCTCTATTTTTAGCCGGCAGAATCGCTATTCGGACACAGCAGTCCCATTTGAGCTTGGACGACTACAACATTAGTGTATCATGGCTCTTTGTGGCTATCACAGCTGCTATAGTGTTTGTTAGTAAGTCTATATCTATATAGCATTTGCCTGGCAATTGCTAACATCAGCAGTTGGCCAAGCCGGTGCAGGGAAACATGTTTGGGCACTCACGATAAATGAGATAGTTGAGATATCAAGGGTTCATCACCCAGCCACTCAAGTTTCCTATCTATGCTAACGCCATACATCATCAGCTCTCATATATCTTTCAGCTGTCAGTGCCATAAAGCTTAAATTGGAGCTAATGGGGAGTCCGGCCCCACCGCCAAAGAATACAGGGTTTAGGCATAAGTGCTATGATGAAATTCTTATCACTCAAGGATCTGAATATTAGTGGGAGGCAGGTGAATAATTACAACGTCGAAGCCAAGTTTATTCAATAAGACGAAGAGCCATATTTAACATTCGCCCAGCGGTCCGAGTCCGTCTCAAAAGGAGCAGATGTCTTGGGCCACCCTGAGCTCCTGGCTGCTAAGCTCCCTGTCGTCACACACTCGGCTCTCGCTTCCTGAGAGGGACACTGAAGTCACCTTCGGGTCCAGAATAGTATGATACTTGCTTGGGAGGGTTTGGGTTTCAGCTGACTTTGTTACTATAGACCTTGGTCTCTCATGGTCGAATTACATTATGTCAATTGCTGATAAAAACTGTGATAAGCCGATTGCTATTGCTGAAAATGAATCTCAGACTTTGTCACTAGATCCAGAATTGCTGATGTTCTTTGATTAAGCCTTTGACTAAACCTTGGAATCACTTGGATCATTTGCATCTATAGCATCGAGTGGATCCAAACATGTGGCCACTTCTCTGAATGGTCACCTTTCCTAATCGAAGAGTGAGGACAACCTAATTCAAAGGTATTCATGAAATTCGAGATACTCTAAAAGCGTTAGAATCATGACTTTATCAACGACGCTGCTATGCCACTAATTTCTCTTCAATTTCTGGATCCAAGCTTGGCGTATGTAGTCAGGAGGATGACAAGACTCTTCAGGACACCAAGCTCATTCAGGAAGCCCAGGTCCAGACAAGGGACACTTACACCCACTTAGAAACAGCTAACAAGCTAGAAAAATAGCAAGCTCGCTCAAAGTGACTAAGCGGACAGGCAAAAACCCCGGAGTCATAGGATACGAGAGTCGCCAGCCACCAATAGTGCATATGTGCGAGGCAACACGTGGGGTCAGTGTCATTTCTCAGCCAGACCAACTCTAAATACCACTTGCCAGAATACACACTGCACTTGTGCACAAGAATCACTGACGCGATATCTGCTACTATTAAGGCAACTCACCACCATCGGTTCTTTCTTCTTTAACAGACATTGATGAACCTTGGTGGGCCTATGATTAACGCCCAGTAAACTTTGCACCGACGCGGAGGCAAGAAGGCCCATTTGGTCCCCATAACGACGGCCACCCGAAACACAATGCCGCAGGAACGCGAGCATCACTTGTAGCGTGGGAGAATTAGCAGCCAATCAGGCGACGGAGATCTGTTGAGGGGTATCGCTGTCCACCGTCAACCCCGAACTTCCCCAATAGTTTATGATCTACGACTCGGCTCCGAATGGGCCAGGGCACGCTATCAAGGGGAAGATTTCCACTTTTAGACTAAAGCAGCCTAAAAGGGGGGATAAGAAACTGGCTAGACTGGTTTTGGTGTAAGCTAGCGGGCAGGGGCTACACCTTCTTCATTTGATGTCATATGGTTATCCCAATCAGGCTCATGGGGTTAGTGTTCGATACGGAAGAAGTACGAGCCTGGCGCCTATCGATCCTTGAGATTCAGAAATCGTTTCACTGTCAGCTGAAAAAACACCGAAACGTCATCATGTAGTCTATATCATTGATTAATTTAAACTTGATGTCTGCAGGTCCTTATGAACAGTTGAATCCATATTAAACGATCCACTATCAGAGTGGTGAACATTCATCCAAGACAAAATGAGACACACTGTAAATTTTGGCCTTTTTATTGTAACATTTATCAGAAGAGCTTTCAAATTGAAGCTGAGGTCATGAAAAGAGATTCGTATTTGAACAGCCTGTACCAGTTGTTTGCAGCACATCTCCATGGCTCCTGGGCTATCAATTGGTAAACCAAACCCCTCCATCAAGCACACTACACATAGGATAGCAGACCATACTACAGTATCAGATTCATTCCGTACAAGGGTAATGGTTTTAAATTTAAATTCTTTTAAATACAGAGAACTGTAGTAAAAAGACAGTAAAAGAAGGAAAATACGAGAAGAGGTAGAGCCGCGTTATATAACCAAGACCACTGATTGGTCATTGCCATTGTCCGTTGGTTCAGTAAGCTGGCTATTTTTGACTGGTTTCAAGGCTGTCACGCCCAGCACACAGCTGGTTATTCAATCAGAATAAATCGGCCAAGTGAATGATCAAACTAATAGAGCCTGCCAGATACATAGCTCTACTAATGTTGCTAACAATGTTGCCGGGGACCCCAGACACGTAATCGGGATGAGCAGACGAGGATGGCGTAGGGACAGTGTCAGTCGGGTTCACATAACCCGAGCCTTTGATTGACAAAACGCCGACGCTGGGGAAATTTGGCTCAACCGATGCAGGGCTGGCGTTGCTGGGATTGGCCAGGCCAGAAACAGACTCAGGCTCTGAGCCAGAGCCAGATCCAGATTCTGCTGCCTTGCTTGCACCAGGAATGGAAGTGGGAGCGACATGCGTTGCTTCAGGCGCCAATTCAGTCAGAATAGGCACAAAAGAAGAGGTGGAGATGACAGGGAGCAGATGTGTCGAGATGCAGTCTGAAGAGAGATCACTGCTTGAAGCTACTCCGTAAAGGAGCGAACAAAACAAAAAGGCAGACGAATGTTTCATTGTGTCTGCTTGATATCAGGGGGTATAAACGAATGTAAAGTCTGAGGATTTGATTCCGTAAAGACCAATAACTAGGCTCTTATATTATAGTTCTTTGTCACCTGAACTTTATAGTCGATTTCTTACTCTATGTCTCTTTATCAGAGCATCTGTCATAATGGGAAATCCCCCCTTATATTCAAGGAGATTAGCTATGCTATTTGTCATCGAAGCTAGGGCACAGCACCGCAGCCCCTCAAGGTTCTCATACATCGGACTTGTGATTTATTCTTGGAACTATAGCAACAACACAGGCATTCCCGCAATACATTGCAGGGGGGTCAGCAACAAAGTTCGATAATTGGGATTCTCTGATCGACATGTAAGCCACAGACACTACAGGTAGACAAAGCGGTACGTAGCCAAGGGCTCATTTTCATGCAATAATTTCTTTCTTTCACAAGCGATGTGGACTGTACTAGTGAGGCGCATGTTAGATTACCCCTATCACATCCCGTGCGCTAGTCCGTGGCCATCAACCTCGAGCCCAAGGTGGGTACAGACTTACTACATTTAGCAGCTGGTCTAAGAGATCCATCCTCAGCTGAGGTTGCCCTGTGACCCTGCCGCTTAAGGGAACTATGACTGATACTCACCTGGCTTTAGACGATGGAGACATCTTGTTGAAAGGAATAACGAAATGTATAAGAAAAAGAAGAGTGAATGAGAATCTCAAACACCATCCCACTCTTTTCATCCATTCATTCATTCACTCACTCATTCATTCATTCCATACGCCTCTACTGCTGGGCTTCTTAACATTCACTCGTTTTCGCTATAGCGCTCAAGCCATGCGTCTCACTATATGTGTGGCTTTAGGCCTTGTGGGCAGCGTTTTCACTGCTCCTGCGCCAGAAGCCTGCAAAGACGATAGGACTGATGTTGTGCTCCAGCCTTATGCCATTGTGCATGATGGCAAAACATCTACTATGACTATTACGCGCACTTATACGGATGGCTCATGGTCTGCCCAGACTCTAGTTCCTCCTCAGCAGTATAACCCTGACTCAACTACCTCTCCCGAAGTCCCAAGTCTCTGCATCAACTGTATTACTATCACTACTACCGGTCCCGTTCCTTATGTCACTACAGTTCCCCCTGCTTCGGACGGAGGAAAGACTACAGTCTTTACCTGTATCGGGCGCAAGACTGTAACTGTAACTGGTACAGTTTCAAGCACTATAACTATCCCTCCGTCTCCCCATTGCAATGAGTGCTCAGCTACGGTAGTTGTTCCAGCTACTGTTACCGATATCAAGACTGTAACAGCACCTGCATGCCATGAATGCATTACTGTTACTGTTAGCGGAACTGCCCCTTGGATCACTACAGTCCCCCCGGCTTCATCAGGGGGTACGACTACAGTCTTTACCTGTCCGGGCCAGAAAACGGTGACCGTAACTGGAACAATGTCAAGCACCACCACTATCAACCCTACATCGGGATGTACCGATTGCACAGTCACAGTGATTATTCCCCCAGCCACATCCTCACTTGCCAGTGGGCTTGTTACTACAATCACGACGACTGGTACCGCAACTGGCATTACTACCCTGCCTGCGACTAGCGGTGGTACTACTACTGTCATTACCACTGCTACAGGACCTTCCCTGGTTACTGCAACTACGATGGCAGGAATATCAACTAGTCCAGCCACCTTACCTGTCTCTAGTAGTGGACCAACTACTACTAGGGCTTATACGACATCAGCGCCAGCCGGAGCTCTTACTACAATCACTAGGCAGGGTACCACTACTGGTCTAACTACCTTACCTGCTACCTCAGGTGGCACTACTACAGTGGTTACGTATACAACCCCTGGCGGTGGCCTCACCACTGTGACTTCAACTGCATCAACCACTGGCTTGACAACACTTCCCGCAACAAGTGGTGGCACTACAACTATTGTCACGTATGTTACACTATCTTCAGTCCAAACTGGCGGCTTGACTACCTTGACTTCAGCTGCTTCTAC